CGCTCTCGACAATGTCTTGAAGGCTGCATTCGTAATCTCAAATCTATCTTCCCATTTCATTGAAAAAACATTCTCGAGCAAAAATCATTTTTGGCTTTGTCTCATTCATTACTCTTAGGACATCCACTCATTTTCAATAGAATTTTTCCTCTCCCCGATGCTCAGACATAGCCAAATCCACATGCATCCTTCCCGGGTCATTCCTCCCGGCCTTTCTCAGGTCCTGCCAATTCCGCATGCATCTCATCCTCTGCCTTTTCTTGCCCTTTACTTAATTGACTCTCCATGTGCATTGCTTGGCTCACCCCTCAACCACTTCTCATCTTTTCGAGCTTATACGAGCCAATTACACAGCCAATTCTCAGTCTGCCAATTCCTTTCCTGGGTCTATGCAGAATCAATCACACCAGCCCTTTCCTTCCTAGCTATCTTGCCAAGCCATTTTCTCAAGTTTATACCATGTCACTTACTCAAGTCTTTTCTGCTCTGGCGTCTTGCCAGGCCCCCTTTTCTCAGGCCCATACAAAGTCAATTACAATCTTTTTTTGTTCCCGCCATCTTGACAGGCCCCTTTTTCCCAAGACCAATTACAAGTCTTATTTTCATGCGTATTCATTAGTAGACGACACACCTTCCCCCCACTCAAAACGCGATGTCCCCATCACGCGACTGGTTCTCACTCGGAGGTACGCAGACCTTTGGCCCGCCGACCGCAAGTCAAGGACACAAGCCCATCCGCTTCACAAAAGGAAGAGTGATCAGTTCTTCCCCAGCGGACGACGCCTCATCCTTCTACCCGGTCCGACCTTTCTTCTCCTATGTGGTGAGCACCAATACCAAGGTTCCTCTTCACGTCTGCCAGGTAGGTCCAATCCAAGCCTGCCAGGGCCTCGTCTAGTCGTAAGAGCGTTCCTCGCGAATCGTTCCTTCCGAGTGGTAATTTTCTGGATTCCGGCCTCTTTCTTTCAAGAGAGTTGGGGTTCTCGATCAATCCGCGAGTGCAGTTACGAAGACCTCGCGTTTAGTCCCGAAACGGTTGTAATGTTTCGGCAGGGCAGTGTCAATGCCCCGTGGTGGTGGCGGACTCCACTCGGTACCTCGCCAGCCTCTCCCCTTGGACAGTGCCGCCCAACTTAGCGCGGGCAGCCGTGGTCCGACCCAAACGACCATGCCACCCCTCTATGACATGGCGTGTGGTTGGAGAGTAGCAAAATAGACTTAGATGAGAATGGCTTCCCTGCCCATTTGGCTCTCTCGCCCTTTGACATTTAGGCATTCAACAGGAGGCACAGTTGGAATTCCCCGACTAGAGCTCATTGTCGGAGGTGGTTCCCGACGGCCCACACCAATCCAAGTGGTAGGTGCCTTAGTCTTTTAACCCTCACCCTCTCGAAGAGGAACGGGTCGCGCTGAGACTTTTTTCCCAGGGGGATGGAGGTCTTAGGGTCGCGGTGCATGCACCGGTGTCCCCCTCTTGCTGAGGCCAAAGACTAGAAAAAAAAAAGAAGTTTCGTTTCAAGGCTCTTTCCAAGTCCATTTCAGATTGCCTAGGGTCCCCTGTTTATGCAATGTAATTTCCAATGTACAATCCAATTCCAATGCGCAATCCCATTCTCATGCTCAATCTCAGTCCAATGCTCAATCTCAGTCCAATGCTCAGTACAATATCTCTTCCAAAGCTAAGTCCAATATCTCTTCCGATGTTTTTTCCAAGGCTTTGCACTTTCCAATATCTTTTCAGAGGCCCAACTCAATGTCTCTTTCAGGCTCAACTCAATATCTCATCAATATCTTTTCCAAAGCTCAGCTATCCACGTATCATACATCTCAAGCAGTCATGCAAGAGGACCCCAGTGCCAATTCCAAAGAATGACCCTTGTCAGGGGTCATTCCGAACAACCTGGTTAGGGTCATTCTTCCCAATTCCAAGTCGAACAGCCTGGTTAAAGTCGTTCTTATTCATTGCAATCGGACAGCCTGGTTATGACCATCCTTATCCTTTTCAATTGAACAACCTGGTTAGGGTCATCCTTATCCTTTTCAATTGAACAGCCTGGTTAGGGTCATCCTTATCCATTTCAATTGGACAGCCTGGTTAGGGTCATCCTTGTTCATTGCAATGTTAGCGCCCGAGGGGGTGCGCCTCGAGGACACGGATCCTGTCTCGTCTCGGGGGTCAGAAGGCGGCCATCGTCTTGGGTTTTTACGCATGCTTCTTCCTTTTCCTCATGTCTTTTGTCGTTCTCACATCCATCCATACATCCGACTTAGCGTCTAGTACTCAAGTTGAGGCTTGCGGCTCCAAGCAGCACTAGCCCGCCCGGCCGTTCAACCATTACAAGGGGTGTTGCATCATTTCAATGTTTCCCTGCCACTTTTCTGACTTCTCATATGCTTCTCAATGCGCTGGGATTGCTTGGGGTAGGTTGGATTAGGCTCCTAGGGGAGAGGGTGCCTTTCTACCCATAGGTCCCCTAACCTCTCACAATGACTCGTGAGCGACTCATTCAATCGTGGGTACACAATTTCGAAAGAAAAATTCTCACCATGACTGCATCTTCCAATGTTCGAGAGTTCACATGCCCCTGCCTATTTCCTCGAGGCAAAGCCAATCATCCCCAAAGTCCGTTTCTTACTACCAAAAAAATGTTCACGTTTTCCCCAAAGAAGCGAATACTCATACAAAGTAGCACAAACCTCCCAACTCCCAATAGTTTCTTCAGTCCAAAAAGCAGTTTCATTACAGTCCTTCCCAAAAAAGGAGGAGACAAAGTTCGAATGCAACGACAACATTACAGACTCGTCTCATCTAGGTCCCCCTTGTTTTCCCCTTCCTTACTCTTAGCTAACGCAACCCGTCACAGTTCTATATCTAAGTGCACTGACCCTTATGTATTTTCCCGAAAAGGCAACGACTTACACGAAGTAGCACCCATTGTCCGGTCTTTAGTCAAAAGTTGCCTCATTTCAGTCCATTTGGCAGAGTTCAAATGCGAAATTCAAAATAGCAGTTGTCCCGGCCCCGGTACCAACCCTTCCTAATTTCTAGTCNCTTTAGTCAAAAGTTGCCTCATTTCAGTCCATTTGGCAGAGTTCAAATGCGAAATTCACAATGGCAGTTGTCCCTGCCCAGGTACCAACCCTTCCTAATTTCTAGTTAACCCCCCCCCCATTGCGCCTGCTATTCCCCTAATGTCCAGGTGGCCTGCGTTGAGCCTCCCTCCTTGCGCGATTCTCCCCTTCCTGCTCCATTTGCCTCTTTATTCCTTGGAACTGGAGGAGTGTGTGTTCTGTAAAGAAGGTTGTTGAGGCTAGATCCTCTCCTCTGCCCAACTTTTCCCTTGCCTTCATGATCCATTGGTATCGCAAGGTAGTCCCCCATTGATCGAACCAATCGCTGAACTCATATCCGAACTCTTCTATCCATTTGTCCTTTTTCTCACTCAGCTGCTCCCTTCTTCCCCGTTCTTCTCTTGTGAGCGTTGTTACCTCATCTTCCTCCTCCTCGCTGGTGAGGTCGATAAATTCCACGGGCACGTCCTCGTCCAGCCTTGGTCTTTTCCCCGGGTTCCTCTCTTCCTCACTACTAGTGTCGCTTTCCGACGGGAGGACTATCGGCTCCCCTTCCTTTAGTGGCGATAGTCCCCTGGTCCCTTGCTTTCTCCCTCCCCTATTCACAACCAAGTTGTGATCAAATCCCACATACAATTTCCTTTTCCTGGAGCTCGATTGTCCAGCCTGCCTTGACGACTGTCCCTCAGTAGGCCTGTTGATGGCGTTGTTGTCGTTTTCATTTCCAAATTCCATTTTTGTCGTTTGCTGTTTGCTCCTCGCCTAGTCCTGTTCATGCATAATCAATCACCACAACCCCCTCCCCATATACTCATATTCCTTCCCATCCCCATTTGCAGATTTGTCGGTCTTCTAAGAACCCTTGCTTGCCCTTGCGCGGTTGGTGATCCCGTCCCCTCCCGTTGTAACCTCGACACATTGTCCCAACACGTAGGTGCCCCATGTAGGCAGTCCACCTCATCGCGCCACAAATATGGTACATTGTCCCCGCCCATAAATACCTCGTGTAGACAGTCCCCAGCGTTACCCCACAAAAACTATAATACACTGTCCCATGCTCCCAGACCCAGTCACAGTCAGCCCAGGCAGTCTCCCCACGTTCCACAAAAGTCAAGACACACAAAACGAACAATCCCTGTGGTCATGATCACTTCCACAGGGAGGCGGTCCAGAACTTATAGCCAGCTACCCGCCTCTCAGGCTGTCAATCCCCCAGTTTCCCTGTCTTGGGCTTCTTGTAGCCACTGTTCCACTGGATCCCTGCTCAAAAATTTGACCAGTCTCTGTCCCGGAGATGGCCCTCTTATGTTAGTACCGTCGAGATCTTCAAGTTCAAATGTGTTCAGTCCGACGCTCTTAGCGATCCTGTAGGGCCCTTTGAATCTTTTTCCCAGCTGCCCGGACCATGTGCTTTCCAGAGCCGAGTTCCTAATTAGCACTTTTTCCCCCACCTGGAGTGGCTCCTTCCGAATGTTCTTAACCTGGTCCCATCTTGTTTTATCCCTCATTCGGCTATCCGTCACACGATTGACTACTTCCTCGAGCGCCTCCTTATTTCTGGCAATCTGCTGACAACGTGCGGTGATTAACTCTTCCGTGCTCAAGTGTGGGTAATCATTTAGCCTGTTCCAGGTAGGGACCAAAGCTTCTATTGGAAAATCGATCTCCCTTCCATACCAAAGTTCTGCTGGAATACATCCCGTTGTTCTTTTTGGAGTCATGTTCTCGGCGAAGACTGCCTGCTTGAGAAACCGTGGCCAACTTCCCAAATTATCTGCTGCCAACTTTGCAATTGTGTTCTTCAAAGTCCGGTGACCCCTTTCTACCAGTGCATTTACCTCAGGATGGTAGGGCTCGGTGATCTTGATCGGTACACACAGTGTCTTAAGCCTGTTCAACACCTCCTGGTTAATGAATTTTGTCCCATTGTCTGCTATAAACCTGCGCACGAAGGGGTGCCTTAGGTAGAAGTCCTCCACCCAGTCGGCCACTGCTTTCCCTGTCTTCTTCTTGAGGGCTATGGCTTCTACATAGCCACTAAGATTATCCCTTGCATCCAAGATGTATCTAAACCCATCCGTCGATACGGGCATAACGGCAAGGTCGAGGTGAACAAGGTGTCCGGGTTCCAGTACCCGGGTGGGTCTAAGGGGCTCGTAAACCCGTATGGAGCACCTCTCTTGACATATCAGACACGTTTGACAATACATTGCGACCATGCCTGCCATTCCTGGCCAGAAATACAGGGGCACAATCTTTGCAAATGTCCCCTTTGACGACCGGTGACCCCCAACTAGCCCATCATGCATTGCCTGAATTATATCCAGCTGCCTAGACCTCCCGCAGACGACGCGTCTAGGCATCATCCCTTCCTCTCTCTTGAACAGGTGGCCATTTCTTAGGACGTACTTTTCTACTTCCTCTCTTGCCTTGGGACCGACTTCCGTGGGTTGTTTGTTCCCGACAAGCAGCAAGCCGATTTCTTTGAAAACGCCCTCATACATTTGTATGAGGAAGAATTCCTGTTCGTTCTGATCCGCACCCTGCTCCTCCGGAGTGAGGTTGACTAGGTACTGACACTCCTTCTGCGCCCAGGTTTCGGCCAATGTCATTACAGCGTCCCGTCCCCCTTCCACGGTCATTGCCATCAATTCCTCTCTGGCCCCTACTTCTGCTCCCCATGAGTCTTTTTCCTCTTTACGCCTGACCGTGGTGACTGGTCCTTCCCCAAGTTCTGCAACTACTGCAGGTGCGCCCTTTTCCAGGGTCTGAATCAGCAACTGTCCTGTTGTAATTGTCGGATCTTCCATCTCATTATCCCCGACGAGGGTCCCTCCTTCGTACTCCAGGAAGACGTCAATTGGTTCTGCGTCCTCTACTCCTTCTGGCGTGATACAAATTCTGCTCAACCCATCTGCCCTATTTCGAAGCCCTGCAATTCGCTCGACCTTATAGTCGAATTGCCATATGAAGCCTATCCATCTGCCGATAGTCGGGTCTATGGGCTTGTAGTTCTTTAGGGCTCCGACAACGTTGGTGGGATTGATCCTTAGGATAAATCGCCTCCCGAACAGGTATGCTTGGAAGGTCTTAAGACAATGCAGGATTGCTAAGACCTCCTTCTTGAACTGCGAATACCGTCGTTCTGCCGAATTCAGGGTCCTGCTTTCAAATCTGATTGGTCTTTCTTTGCCCTCCTCGCTTCTCTGTATCAATATTCCTCCCACTGCCAATGGTCCCCATCTGTTTCTAAGATGAAGGGTCGTCCTACCTCGTCATTGAAACAGGGTGCTGCTAACGTGACCTGATCGGACGACAGGATGTCTTTCAGGGTCTGGGATGCCTCTTCCCTATCCTCTGTCCAATCCATAGTGCCACCTTCCCTAATCATCGTGCGGATGGGTTCTGTTATCTTTGCGAAACCTTTGATGAAGATCCTCCAGAACCCAACCACCCCTAGGAAGGCTCGTACTTCCGTCGTGGCACGCAGGGGTGTCGGCCACTGAGAGATCTTATCAGTCTTTGCTGGATCGAGTCTCCTCCCATAAGCTCCACAGCGGAATCCAAGTATGGTTACTTCCGGGACGGCCAGGATGCTCTTGGGTCCGCTTGCAGTAATGTTATAGACTATGAATCGCTGGAGTAAGTCCTTAATATCCTGCAAGTGGTCCCAGACGAACTCCCTCACTCCCGGTTGTACTTCCGTCTCATCTTTGTATCTTGCGCCTTTCACGGGATTATCATCTATGTAGGGTTCACACTTTTCCGGAAACATATCCCCTGCGACGGCGAGCATCCTCCTCTAAGCTTCTGCTACCGCATTTGTGAAGCCCATAGGGGTCACTTGCATCTGCAGCTGTCCTACCGGGGTGTGCATTGCAGTATATGGTCTATCCCTCGCGTCGAGCGACAACTGATCATATCCTGAGTACAACTCTACCAGGGAGTAAATGCTCCGCCCTGCATGAGATTCTGCCAATAAGTCGGTCTGTGGAAGCGAGCCTGCGTCCCTAATTGTTACCGCATTGAGCTTTTGCAGGTCCTGGATCCACCTGAGTGTCTTATTGGGCTTTCTGAACACGAACCACTTGTTCGCGTAGGGAGATGCGGTGGGTTCAGCCACAAAAGAATCTATTTTGACTCTAAGCAGGTCGGTGACCTCCGCTGCTATCCCAAACTCGTAGGCGGGCCCTTTATCATTCCAACACGCGTGTTGTACGGTGTGGATCCTGACAGGGGGAACTAGCTTTCCGTCCAATCGTCCTTTCTGATGATCGTTGAAGGCGAAAGCTAAATGAAACTCCTGACATGCTTTTCTTATCAACTGAGTTTCTTCCGCTGTTAGAAACCCTTCCACTCCTATTTTCATGGTGTCTGCTACCTCATCTGGTATGCGATGCCCTTCCGTTGCTCGCCTCTCCCTTATTACCCGCAGGATTTCCTCCTCCTTCTGCATGACCTCTTCCTTTGACGTTTCTACTAGGATCGAGACCGGTTTGGCCTTCTTGCCTACGGGTTTATACTTTCGCACACTACCTTCGGGGATCGTTCTCCTAAAAAATGAACAGTCGGGATCGGCCTTGCTACCTCCAAGACGCGGGGTTGGATACTGACTAGCTTCCCATTCAGACAGTAGCCCTTTCGAACCCCATCCTCAAATCTGGCAAGCGCTGCGAGGTCCACCCCACTTTGTGGTACCTGATGGCCTTAACGAGTTGTAATAAATCTGGGATTTCAAGCACTACCTCTGACGTTTCGTTCCGAGCTTCCTTTGGTTTGGGCAGGCTGGCCCCAAGTTCGACTTCCGACTCTTTTTCTGCCACCATAACTTCCAGGGACTCATCCTCTGGCCTCCTCTTCTTTACGGGCAAGCCCATCTTGATCCACTCATTTTTACTAAAAGCCTCCTCAATCATAATTTCTACCCTTTCCCTCATTCCTTCCATTCGTGCGAATGCCCCCTTCTGTGCACTTTCTTCGAATGTTGGCGACCAGGTTGCCAATTTGCCCTTCGGAGGGTTCCCTCCAGTTCCGAGGAGTCGAAGGAGTTCTCCGCGACCAGTCACCGGATCCTCTATGTCTACCATGTACGTGCCGTCATGCAAGTGCATGCCAATCATTTCTACATTGGCGCACCATGGCCTCCCAAGGATTATGTCATGGTCCATTTCTTCCATGACGGTCAGCCGTTGGAAAGACTAGATGGATTCCCGGACTCCTGCCCGGACCGCGCATTTGGTGACGTACCCAGTGAAGGGGATTTCTCCACCGGCTCCCCTGATACTCCCTGCTACCTCCTTTGTTTATTGTGCACCCGGTGATTGTTGCGAAATCCCGTTGTATGAGGGTAATTTCTGCACCGCAATCCACTAATGCATCGGTGTGGTGAGTTCCGATCTGGATTTTAAGCTTTCCTACGGGCAGTGCGTGAAAGCTAAGTTTAGTGTCAGGCGGTGCTCTCATGACTTCACCACCTCCTCGGTCCGGCAGGTTCAGATGAATGTCAGCAAAAACTTTTTCCAAATTTTCCAGGCCCCCGGGATGCTTTGGAGGTTGGAGACTCCTTGCGGCGCCTCGACCTCTTCCGTGTCCTGCTCTTGCAGTTCCGTGGCCTCCTCTACCTCTACGCGCTTACGCGCTAGCAACTGCCTAGGTCCTTTAAGCGGCCTTGGGCTGGCTTGCTGCATAGTCTGAAAAGACACCGATACCATGGTACCCAGTAGCTTACTCAAGGTGCCATCGATTTCTGGCGAAGTCAGGATCGGAATTTGATATCTGAACTTCTTTTTTGCCACCGTAGCCTTGTCTACCGGTTCCTCCTCCCTTAGTTTCCCATAGACCCTCTCTTAATCCCCATCTTCGGCCTCTTGCTGGCCCGTGCTAGTCCCTGCGAGTTCTTCCATTGCTGTATCTTGCACAAGCTTCTTTTCTGCGTCGGCCCGACGAGTGGTGATATTTACCCTGTTGTGGTCATTGCCTTCTAGGATAAAATTGGCCTGTGGTCCCCGTCCCCTTGGCTGGTCCCAAACAATCTCGGCTATCGGTTCTGCTTCTACGACAGCTATTTCTAGGTTATTCAGGAGAATGACGGCTCGCCGCATCCCCCCTGGCGAGTTCCAATTGACACGCTCCCCCCTAGGCCCGAGGATCTCGCCTTTGAGGGACCTACTGCACCCTGCCGCTCGATATCGTGATTGAGTCTCGGACAGGCCCGTACGAAATGCCCGATCATGGTGCAATACTTGCATTGTTCGTTGGTCGGGTCCCTCCTTCCAAACCCTTGGTTTGCTACACCTGCCGGAACCACGGCCTCTTGGGGCGGGAGGGAGAGTCTGGACACTTGCGCCTGCATTACTAACGGCGCATTTTCCATTCTGTCCATCTTGCTATCAACCCTGTGCACCCGTTCGTGCAGACTATCTATCCCCTTCTTGACCTTATCCCCTGTCTTCCCGATCAGATCTATGACCTCTCCTTCCTTAAGTAGGGCTAGCGTCTCGGTAACCACTGTCTTTTCCGCAAGGTGTGTTACGGTGCTGAAGTCCGCATCTCTTGTGTATTCGAACTTACTAGTCTGCTGGTATGCTGACAAAATCTTATCTTTATCGAACTCGGAAAACTGCTTGCGGAAGTATTTACTCATTATACGGTCCGTTACCCCGGGAATTCGCAAAGCCACTAACGTGAATGTCCTTAGAAAATCATTGTAAGTCGCATAATTTTTCTTCTGGACTGCGGCTAATTCGGCCTCTGTTGCCATTTTCTCTGCCTTCATGTATTTCCTCATTATCTCATTCCTGGTTTCTTTCCAAGATCCACTGAAGGCGACGATGGCCATAATGTCCCTACCCAAGCTTAGTGACACGTGCTGCCCCAGGTGCTCCATCTTTTCCTCTTCCGTCCATTTTAGTAGGGCTGCCAGGTTCTCATAGTCTTTTAGAAACTTTGGCCCCATCGAATGTGAGTTTCTTCTTTGCATCTGCGAGATACCCCTGGTTCTTGTTTAGTGTCCTGTTGAGGGTGGCGACTACCCTCTTGAGACCATCTTCGGAGGCAC